TAATTTGTTTAAATAGTCTCTGGTTATTTAACATTAATATAGTTCTCAGATCTGTTATATTAGAACAAATTATTGTAGCTAAATCTTTGCATATATAGCCTATGATTTCCTTAGGATGTTTTTTAGAGGTGAAAATGCTAGTTTATAAGGTTTGAACAACTTCAGAGGCTTTAGAAATCACTGGACCCTAGATTAGGAATATCTGCTTCTGAGGCTTAGAAATATCCTAGACTTCCCCACCCCCAGCAGTGGGCTTCTGGGCATAATAACTGCATTGGATGTCACAGAATTAGAACTGAATGCATGACACATGTGGGATTGCTTCTCCAGTTGGAGACAAGAAGTGGTGACACTTTGTGATTGTAACCAGTCATTTTCCCTTTCCCCAAACAAGTGTAAAGAAAGTCTACTTCCAGATTGTTGTAGAGACATTAAGAAATACTAAATATGGTAAATGCTGGAAGCCAGGTACAAACATATCAATAGAGGTTCAACGGTGGTAGGCTGAGTGGTAGAGGATAGGTTGTGTGAATGTCACAAAAGTAGTGTACCCAACCCAGCCTACTTCTAAAAACAACCTGTCTGTGCATTTGCCACTGTTTTCTTTCTCACTCACTCCTGCTGTGCTACTCTCTCAGTTGGAATGCTTTCCTGATCCTTGTCCTTTTGGTTAAATATTTACCCACTCATCTTTTAAACACCAACTCTTTTATGAAGCCTTTTCTGGCTCTACAGGTACAACTGACCCTAACCTCCACTGCACTCTGTACAAACTTCCAGAAAACTTGGCTTCCCTTTTTCTTTATCTGACTCCTGCTTTTGCATTGGGAGCACCTTGAGGACAAAGAAATTAACTCTATAACTTCCGGACAGATGACCAGTGTTTGTTGAATAAATGAATGAAGAAGGGGTCAGGAGTGGATCTGCTCAAAGTGCTAGAGTAATAACAGAGTAAACCAGAGCAGGTAACAACCTTTAACACTTAATATCTCAATTGACCCTTACAAAATTTCTATTAAATGGGTAGGTGATTGGTGAGTGGAAGGATTAACCAAATCTTCAAGAGTTTTAGTAGCTTTCCTAAGGCAGGATGCAATCCTCTGTATTGGTAAGGGTCGGGGCTCTTCAAGCTTGTTCCAGGCTTCCTGATTGGGACTAATTCCCAGGCCTTCAGATCTTCTAGAAAAGAGTTCTTCCTAGCTCACAACAGTAGGAAAGGAGTTATTAGACACCTAAAGAGAGAAAGCGTTAGACGAGACAGGGGAGGGAATGGGGTGGGGGTGTACCCTTCCAGAGACCATGCACATTTTTCCTGAAGCAGTTTTAGGGAAAGGCAAATCCCAACGATACTACCTACCAATTTTGAGAATCTATTCAGTGCCTGGCAGTGAATAGAAGCCCTCTAATCGGTATCCTAACTGAGAAGTAGCTGTTATCTCCGTTTGTATTCGCTACCCATCCTCTCCAAGCTCTTTGTCTCACCCTACCAAAGTCTCTCTCCTGCCAGTGCTCTCCTTTGGCGCAGAATCCCCACATCCACTTTCTCTGGCCCAGGGGAGGGGCTGGGCGGGGCGCGGTCGCCTTGTCGCAGAGCCCGACTGCGCCTGCGCGGACTGCGGCAGAAGGCGGGGTGTGAGTGGCAGAGTACACTGAGACTAGCGTTCACTGTTGGCCCGTACCTGCGTTCTTTTCCACCACCTCTAATTTCAGCTCCAGCAAGTTGCTTGGAACTTACTTTCTGGCAGCAGCAGCAACAGAATTACCGTTAGCGGCAGTTTTGTGCTGAGGCACCTGCACGCCTCCTGTCCTCTTTCTGCCAGATCGCGGGCCTGTCGGTGTCTGCTCCCACACGCCGGTCGACAGGACCATGTCGCTGGTAAGCCAGAATTCGCGCCGCCGCCGCCGCCGCGGTGCAACGGCCACTGCGCACAACAGCAGCAGCTGGGGTGAAATTCAGGCCCCTAACGCCTCCGGTTTCCCCGCTGCTATGCCAGACCCAGACGTCCCCCAGGATCACAGCGATCCCCAGATCCTCCAGGGCCTCTGCGCCTCTGAGGGCCCAAGTGCGTCTGTGCTGCCCACCCCCGGTGAGGGCCCGAGCACCTCTGGGCCGCCCACCGTTTCTGAGGGCTCAAGCGCCTACGGGCAGCCTACCATCGCTGAGGGATCGAGCACCTCCGTGCTGTCCACCCGCGGTGAGTGTCCGAGCACCACCGTGCAGCCCACCGCCTTTGAGGGAGCAAGCACTTCCATGCCTCCTACCCGCGGTGAGAGCCTGACCACCTCCGTGCCGCCCACCGCCTCTGAGGCATCAGGCATCTCCGTGCCGCCCCCCCTGGGTGAGGGTCCGAGCATCTCCGTGCCGCCCCCCCTGGGTGAGGGCCCGAGCACCTCCGTGCCGCCCAGCGCCTCCGAGGCATCAGGCATCTCCGTGACGCATCCCCTGGGTGAGGGCCCGAGCACCTCCGTGCCGCCCCCCCTTGGTGAGGGCCCGAGCACCTCCGTGCCGCCCACCGCCTCTGAGGGACCGGGCACCTCCATGCTGCCCACCCCCGGTGAGGGACTGAGCACTTTCATGCTGCCAACCGCCTATGAGGAACCGAGCAACTCCGTGCCACCCGCCCCTGCTGAGGGACAGAGCACACTGTTGAGCTCGAGCGCTTCTGTGGACCCGAAGCCCTCCAAGCGCTCCAATGTTTTGCCAAACGCTAGCATGGCCAAGGCCTCCGCGGACTCGGACTCTGAGGGCCCTAAGGGTGCGGAAGGTCCCATGGAATTCCAGGTCCTAAGAGACCGTGAAAGGCCCAACTCCATTACCATTATGGGCCTCAGTACTTCCCGGGTCGCCATTACCCTGAAGCCCCAGGACCCCATGGAACAGAATGTAGCTGAGTTGTTGCAGTTTCTGCTGGTGAAGGATCAAAGCAAGTACCCTATCCGAGAGTCTGAAATGCGAGAATATATTGCTAAAGAATATCGCAGCCAGTTCCCTGAGATCCTCAGACGAGCAGCAGCTCACTTGGAATGCATTTTTAGGTTTGAATTGAGGGAACTTGACCCTGAGACACGCACCTACATTCTACTCAACAAACTGGGACCTGTGCCCTTTGAAGGGTTAGAAGAGAGCCCAAATGGGCCAAAGATGGGCCTCCTGATGATGATTCTGGGGCAGATATTCCTGAATGGCAACCAAGCCAAGGAGGCTGAGATTTGGGAAATGCTCTGGAGGATGGGAGTGCAGCGGGAGAGGAGGCTTTCCATTTTTGGGAACCCGAAGAGACTTCTCTCTGTAGAGTTTGTATGGCAGCGCTACTTGGACTACAGGCCAATAACTGACTGTAATCCAGTGGAGTATGAGTTTTTCTGGGGCCCACGATCCCACCTAGAAACCACCAAGATGAAAATACTGAAGTTCATGGCTAGAATCTATAACAAAGATCCTATGGACTGGCCAGAGCAATACAACGAGGCGCTGGAAGAAGATGCTGCTAGAGCCCTGGCTGAGGGTTGGCAGCCTCTCCCTCCGTTTAGAAGGCCCTTTTTTGAGGAAGCTGCTGCAGAGGCAGCATTCCCAGATTCAGACGTTTCCAACCAGTCCTCAAAGTATCCCCCACATTCGTGGCCTGAGTCAAGATTGGAGAGCAAGGCAAGGAAATTGGTGCAGTTATTTCTGCTTATGGATTCAACTAAGCTGCCTATACCAAAGAAAGGAATTCTGTACTACATTGGCCGAGAATGCAGCAAAGTGTTCCCTGACCTCCTGAATCGTGCTGCCCGCACCCTGAACCATGTCTATGGGACAGAGCTAGTCGTACTTGATCCCAGGAACCACTCCTATACCCTGTACAACCGAAGAGAAATGGAAGACACTGAAGAGATTGTGGACAGTCCAAACAGGCCTGGCAACAACTTCTTGATGCAGGTCCTAAGCTTCATCTTTATCATGGGCAACCATGCCAGGGAGTCTGCAGTCTGGGCCTTTCTGAGGGGCTTAGGGGTTCAATCTGGGAGAAAGCATGTGATTACCTGTAGGTATTTGAGTCAGCGCTATATAGACAGTTTACGGGTTCCCGATACCGATCCAGTGCAATATGAGTTTGTATGGGGCCCTAGAGCCCGCTTGGAAACCTCCAAGATGAAAGCCCTGCGATATGTGGCCAGAATCCACAGAAGGGATCCACAGGACTGGCCACAGCAGTACAGGGAGGCATTGGAAGATGAGGCCAATAGGGCTGATGTTGGGCACAGGCAATTCTTTGTTCACAACTTCTGAAAGAGCAATGCATGGCAGTCAGAGGGGCCTTACAAGGCCAGGCCCTAAAGCCCTGGGTCTCACTTATTGGGAGTTATTGTATTTGGTATTTGTGTTCCAGTTCCACTTATGTCTTTTCATATTTAGTTCTTGTGTGGTATCTTGAAAAGTTTCAACTGTTTTAATATACCGTCCAATAGGGTAAATATAATCGGCCATTTGCTGTCTATTGTATTTTGGTGTAAGAGTTTTGAGAGCTTTGTACAATGTTTTGGAAATGTTTCCATCTTGTTGCATTATCTGGAAGAGAATATATAGCATATAGCTATAGATATAGGCTTTTCCTTGAAAATTTGAAAAAATTCACCAGTAAAATGATATATCTTCAAGTGTTAAGCAAACAAATATAACAACTGCAAAAGCACTCTGAATTGTGGCTGGCCTTCTTTTGTGTCTGCTATCGTGTAAAGAATACTGATGTTTACCTGTATTTGCTTTGCTGTACTAAAATGTAATGAAAAATAAAAGTTGAATAAAGCAAACATAATGCTAATGTACTAATTTATTCAGTAAAAATTTACTGAACTTCTTTCATACAGTGAGCATAGTGGTGTGTTCTGGTTATGCAAGTATATAAGATAGAGCACCTGCCCTAGAATTCAGGGACTGGGCAGGATATAGGGGAGGTAAGCTAAACCAGCAATTTTATTATGATGTACTAAGTGCTATCATAGACTAAGTAGAGGGTGCTATGGGAGTTAAGAAGAGGTACACCTAACCCAATTCCACGGGTATTCAGGGTGGTCTTTGAAGAAGATGATGGGTGTAGGGGGACAAGATGGGGTCCTTAATACAATCACAAGTTGTAATTCAACTAATTCAAGCCTGGATTTCAGTTTTCATAAATGGTATCAGGTAATGAAGTCAAAGATGTAAGGGTGGAGGACTGAAGGGTATTACATGTCATAAACAGTCCCAATAAGATGCATGAGTCAGCTTTCTCCAAGTTATACTGTGGTTTAAAAAAAAATCCTCAAATCTCAGTGGCTTACAACAACAAAATGTTGGACTCATTTTACATGCTCTTCATGCGTTCTCTGTGATTCTGTTTATATTGTCCTCATTCAGGTAACCAGGCTAAAAGGAGTAGGCTCTATAGGGGACATCTGTTCTTGTGGCAGAGGTAAAAGAGCCTTAGTGGAACCATGTGATAGTTCCCAACACTTCTGCTAAGATATGGCATAGCAAAGTTCTAGTCCATTGGCAAAATCAAGTCATATGGGCAAGCTTGATGTCAATGGGGTGGGAAGTGTACTCCTCCAACAGGGAGAGACATGTAGGAATGGGCCCAGTAGAGAAGAACAGCATATATTTTAAACAAAAAATTTAGTTCAACCATATAAGAATTTGACTTTTGCTATTAGTGAGATGGGAAACTATTGAAGGATTTTGATCTGAGGAATGGCAGGGTACAATTTAGTTTTTACAAGGATATTTTGGCTCTTGCATTGAAAAACTAAGGTTGGGTTGGGGAGAGTAGAAGCTCTAATTTTAGCATAGGAGTTCCTTCTTAATGTTCTTATGAAAAGAGGTGTTATTTTCCAAAAAAAAAAAAAATAGAATTTAAATAAATTGAAGTCAGACAGCCTGTTATCTTTTTAAAAACACCTTGACAATCAAACGTTATGATATCAACGTTAAAAGCCATTATGGCGTAGTGGTTAAGAGCATGTAGTCTAGAGTCATAGTGCCTGGGTACAAATCCTGGCTCTCTCTGATACTCACTAGATAGGATAACTTGGGCAAGTTACTTAGTCCCTTTGTGCCTCAGTTTCCTCATCTGTAAAATGGGCATAATAATTTCACCTACCTCATAATATTGTGAAGATTAAATGTGTTAGCATGTAAAACATAACAGGACTTGACACATAGTTAGCAATATATAGGTGATGTTGCTGCAGTTGGGGACTGTGAAGCGGGGATTTCTTTGCAGAAATTTTACTGGGGAGTAGTTTTGGGTTCAACACCTATGGGGCAGCAAAAGAAGCAGAATTGTGCAGTGGGAGAATTTGAGCAGTGATTCAGTCACAACAAATAGATTAGCTGATTCCACAGGGAACATTGGAGTTGGGGAGGTCCTGCAGAGTTGTCCCAAATTAGGAGAAGAGGGCCAAACTTTTATACCCCATACTGATCAGTCATTTGTATGCAAGCTGCCTCCTAGTAAGGGGACATGACTTTGGGAAGAGTCAATTCTTTTCAGCTGAGAGTAATTCCTGAGAAAGATGCTCAGTTGTAAACAGAACATCTGTCAACACCCTTAAGAGATAGAGGAATGAACATTTCAGTCCTAAAGAGTAGGGACATCTGGGTGGTACATCACAGCATTGGCTACAGTTGTTGCTGTTTTCGTCAACCCCTCCTCTTCTGTAATAATTTCTTCTTCCTCTTCTCCTTCTCCTTCCTTCTTTCTCCTCCTTCTCCTCCTCTGCCTCCTTCTTCTTCTTCTTTCATCTTCCCTCTTCTTCTTTCTTCTTCCTTCTTCCTCCTCCTCTTCCTCCCCCTTCTCCTCCTTCTTCCTCCTCCTCCTCCTCTTCTTCTTCTTCATTTCTCCTCCTCCTCTTTCTCCCCCTTCTCCTCCTTCTCCTCCTCCTTCTTCCTTCTTTGTTCTTCTTCCTTCTTCTTCCTCCCCCTCCTCCTCCTCCTTCTTTCTCTTCCTCCTCCTCCTCTTCTTCTTCTTTTCTCCTCCT